AGGGAGCTCTGGAGGAGCAGGCACAGCAAGGCGCTTTCGACGAGGAATCAGGGAGCGAGCTCTGGGGCTGGAGCCGACACTGGAGCGAGCTCTGGGGCTGACACTGGAGCAAGCTCTGGAGCAGACACTGGAGCGAGCTCTGGGGCTGACACTGGAGCAAGCTCTGGGCGGGAGTGAGCCACGACCGACCGGCTTGACTTAGGAATGGCCAGCGGGCTTGCCACAGAAACAGCCGGCGGGCTTGCCACAGGATCTTCGGAACTAGACTTTGGAACGGCCGGCGGGCTGGCGAAAGCCGCGGCCGGCAGGCTTGACTGAGGAATGGCCGGCGGAGGAGTCCCGGATCGGGATCGGAGGCTCTCCAGACACCGGATGACTGCCTACTTCCAGTCGAGGTTGGTGGTGTCTGGGAGCTCCACGGGGCGATGGTAAGTAATCCCGATCCGGAACAGCGTCACAAGGGTTTCCCCCTCGAGGGAGCTGGCGAGGGCGAGCGGCACGAACGCCCTCGCGTAGCTGACAGGGTTGGGGCTTGCCTGAGCTACGGTGATGAACATCGCTCGTTCCTCCATAGTCTCGGGGGGAAAACAAACGGGGGAAAAAGGCGCCGCTTACTTCAGTTGGGGTCGGCTGTTCTGTCACGGTCACTCGGGGAGGAAGGAACGATGAGACGCAGGAGAAGACTTCAACAAGGATTTAATTCAAATGAACAAAGGATAACACACACAGGACCTCTGGGATGACATTTAACAGCCGACACTCGAGACATCAAAACACAGGTTTTAAGTAACAAGGGAGTAAACTAGGGAATTAATCAACATAACGAGGAAACAAGGGAAACACAGGTGGAATCAAATAAACATAATGAGATCAGGAACAGGAAGACCAAAAAAGGGCAAACAGGAACATACACGTGACATAAATATACTCACATTTATTTGAAATACATTTATTTTATGCTAAATATACTACAAATACATTTACATAATTATGTACTTAATCAAATACCCTGCTATTGTACTTTTAGTATACTAAACAGGTACTGTATACTTAAAGTCTGGTCATTTGGAACAACTAATTTTGTACTTATTGTACTTCAAATGTGTGAAAGTAGTGCTGAAGTCCAACTAAAGATATTCTGAAGTATATTTGATTGTGCTAAAGTGGAACTGTTGCAAGTATACTTCAGGAACAATTTAAACATCTTGCATTTAAAGACCGATATTATTCAAAGATCATACAATCCTCATCAAAAGTGACATTAAAACACATTTTAGGCGTAATATTAAGAAATGTGCATTGTGCACAAGTAGTACTCCAAATAAAATGTAATTATAATTTTTATATCAGTAAATCTCAAGTGATATGTCAGGAAATATGTTAAAGGGGTCATATGATGCAATTTCATTTTTTCCTTTCTCTTTGGAGTGTTACAAGCTCTTGGTGCATAAAGAAGATCTGTAAAGTTGCAAAGACTAAAGTCTCAAATCCAAAGAGATATTCTTTATAAAAGTTAAGAGTCAGCCACACCCCACTAAAACGGCTCGTTCGAACACGCCCCCACATATCTACCTCACTATGTGGGAAGATTTGCATAACACCGCCCAAATGTTCACGCAAAGAAAGAAGACTTTTACTAGGGTAACAATATATGCATCAGAAATAGTATCTTTGTCAAATACTACTAACCAGATAAAATGCTTGTTCTCAGTGTATTTTTGTTCTTTTTTGTTGTTCCAGAAAAAGAGACATTTCTAGAGCCCTTCGTGCTCAGAGACTTGTTGCCGTCCTCCATCGGAAGCTACTACCGTTACATCGGCTCTTTGACCACGCCGCCCTGCAGTAAAGTGGTGGAGTGGATCGTCTTCAGTCGGCCCGTGTTCCTCTCCTACAAACAGGTAAGTCTGTACTACACACATGAAGGTGTGTGAGGTTATTCATGCTATTTAGGTCTTTAAAAAAATTATGCCAAAAAAGATTTTATTATGCATCTTTACTCAAAGCAAAGCTCAAAGTCACAGTTCCCATAATACAGAGCGGCTGACCCAGTTGAGAAGTCTGAGGAGTTAAAACTGTTTGAGATTTATTAGACAGAGCTCCTGAAAAACACCTGGGCTTTGGGACAACAGCTAAACAGCATGAGAAAGAAAAGAAAAGAGCAATGTGTGTAATACCCATTATTGTTCTAATGGACCCTACTTTCGCCTCACTGACTCATGCCTCTCCATTAGTATGCATCACCCAGCTTCGCTTGCGCACATGCATCCTGTCCTCTCTCTCGGCAATGCTCCTGAGCTCTGACTGATAAGGAAAACTCTCCAGCTGAGCTTTTACACTGTAATATAACAAACCCAAACACCAAAAATGGGGCATCTTCATGCTAACAGGCTGCATGAAGAGCTATGTGAAGGCCAGGTGCACTTCCACCAAAGTATAGAGGAAAGAGGACTGGTTTTAGAGCAGAAATCCTCAGGGTGGATACTGTGAGGTGGGCTCTCACAAGCAGCACTGTTAGACTCAGATAACAAACAAAGAAGGACGTGATAATTAAGGGCTGAAATTTATAGGGAACACAGTGTCTGTTTATGAAGGTTGTTCTCCATCAGAAACCGATCCATCTCTGGCTGCTCTGTGACTTCTGATCTCACCGCGTGTTAAAAGAGAAACGGCAAACAGAGGCTTTGCTCTCACGTATAAAAGATCAAAGGATATCTGTATAAACCTCATCCGGCCATGTAAGATTCCATGTTATTTCAAAGTCTTTTCAAGGTTTGTAACCATATGGTGTAAGACTTTGTAACGATAAAAAATTATATTTTAACCAGAAATAGACAGACAACGCATATTTAATTTGACACACGAAACAAGACTGCAATGGACTGAAGTACCAAATTTCAGCGTAAATCATTCGTAAAACTGTATATTGCGTAATTCGTAAATGGTTCTCAGAATTCTGCTATGCTTGTTTATCTTGAATGGGGCTTAAAGGTGCAGTAGGAGATCTCAGCAGGGGTGTGAAGTAACGAATTACAAATACTCACGTTACAGTAAGTAGTTTTTATCAGTAATTGTACTTTTTTGAGTAGTTTAAAAATTGTGTACTTTTACTTTTACTTGAGTACATTTTAAGTGATGTATCGGTACTTCTACTCCGCTATTTTCCTTCGTTTGTGGTCGTTACATGCTTATTTTAATTTTATTTTTATCCATCAACGTGATTGGATAGAGAGATAGTAATAGGTCTCGTGACTTTCATCAAATCAAATTGTGCATTGAAAACTTTAACCGCCAACTGTCTAACATGGCTGCTGGAAGTGCATTCTTCAAGCACCAATTCAGTCGCATCTTCCTCTAACTTAATATGTTAAGGTAAATTTCGGATTTCTGCTTACTAAATGATTTGTATATATGCTTGCCTATCTACACGGCCTGAAATTTCATCATCCAATCACAGCCCCCCTCACGCAGTATACGTTAAGTATATCAGAAATCGTGAACATAACTGTTCGAGGAATGCTGCGCAATCCTCTGGCGGTTCGTCGCTCCCACCTCACTCACAGCAAGCGGCGCTTGCGCTAACGCCAATTCCGGCAGTGTTTTTACTTCAGTAAATCCGTTTTGGTGAATACAAACTACGTGATTATTTTTCATGAGTCCAACATCCCGCCGCGCAAGAGACGTGATAAGTAAGGGAAGTCGTCTTTCACTATTGTAATGTTGTTAAATAGAGAAAAACATTTTATATTTATGTAATTAATAGCATAATTCTTAACCTTGGACCTTATTCTTGAAACACAAAATGAACAATAAAAAGGTGTCAAGCACCAAAAGCAGCCCATATTAAATCTATAAGCTGTCTTTAATTGAAAAATACGCAT